CTGGCCACACATGTACTTGGAGAGACAGGCAGGTAGGCAAACTTTTATTACAGCATGGTTTGAAATAAGGAAAAATAGAAACAGCCTCACTTTCCATCAAAAGGAATAACCAAAACATAATAGCCTCAGGCAATGGAACATCCCAGAGCATCTTAAATGAATGATATAACTCTACGTAGATTGGTAAGGATAAATCTGGAAAGCTTATAAAGACAATTTGCAGCATATTACCATAAACTCTGTATAGATCCAATCAAAGGCAGTAAAAATATAAAAATAAAGGTTAGACTACAGTTTCAAAATATTAGTTAACTTCAGACAGGGAGGAGCAAGTGGTGGATCTTGGAAAGGTACCCTGTCATCTTTAATGGTAAACATTTATTTTATTTTTTAAAATAAAGATCTGAAGCAATTATTTTCAAAATATCAACAATTATGAAATCTCAGTAGTGGCAACATAGTTGGTGGTTTTTCACCTGGACTTCTTATATGAATAAAATTTTTCATCACTCAAAATGAAGAAAAATGAGCAAGAGCACATAGACTGTTGGGTTAGGAAAACACCCCACCCAAGGGCCAGGGTAGAGATGAAGTATATTTTTGTTATTAAGGACTATGCAGAGCAAAGGATTAGATTTATTTTATCCAGTCCTTGCATTTAAAGATAGGGAATTACAGGACGCTGTTTGAATTCTAATGAAAATTAGCCAGGAGAGAGAAAGAGGTTGAAAGTGATAGGGTGGTAGGGGTGGACCATCCCATGGGACAAGGCCCTGGGAAGGTGGGTTATGGAAAGGACACTGTCCACAGAGGGGCATGCTGGTCCCTGGCAGGCAGGCCTTCTTTTCCAGCATATAAACAGGTTCTAAAGGGGGAAAAGGGGAGAGCCATGTAAGTTACATACACGTGGTGGCTGGGAGGTAAGGGAGATCCTGACATGCTATTGGTTCTACTTCTGTGAAGCACAGGCAGAGCTATTTTCTGAAGGAAGGGGTAGAGGGCAGTTGTGTTAAACTATAAGGTAACCGTAGTCCTGGAAGGTAGTGGAAGAACACATTTAATAGGAAAACTTAGTCATCTTGCCAGGCAATGCAAGATGCAGACCTGAAGCTGTAACCATGCATTTGTAATACTACTATCATTCCATTATTCATTAATTAATTTATTTTCCTAGCAGCCATAGGAATACAGTCAGGAAGGGGCCAGGCAGTGAAATGTGTATCGATTCTTATAAGGCTATTGTTCTTCATAGCGAAGTATGTGTGTGAATGCTTTGTGGCTATGAACACTTTTTTATATTGGTTCTTTTAACCAGACTCTTTATTTAAGGTAATATATGCAATTCTTTTATAATTAAATTCAAATCTTAAATTTTATAATTTTCTGAAGATACTCCCCTGCTTGAATTCATTGTTTGTTCAGACACATAATACATTTAACACAATATGACTATTTATTCTTTTGTAACTGTGTGTATCTTAATCTTGTGGACTTAAATGTTAGACTAATTTATTTGTTTTTGCATTGCCACTACATTAGCAAATGATTATCCACAATTACAGTGGATTAAGCAAGTGAAGTATTCATCCAAATAACATGCTTTCTTGCCTTGTATGTTCCATTTCTGAGTTGACAGGAAGATTTCTCTCTTCTTGCAGAAGGGATATAGCCACAGCAGGGTTCTGTGGCAGCTGAACAAATAAAACTATTCTTGTCTAAGAAAACATATTTATGTATTAGTTCTTGATTAATTATAAGTGTCTTTTGGAAACTTATAAAAAATAGGCATTATTGGAATTAAGTTCCAACCAATGACACAAATTTTTTTTTAGTGTTTGGACAATAAATAAATGTATTAAGAATGTAAGTAAAAAGTTATTTTCTGATAATTATCCTAGCACCACTGCCCAGAACTGGTATGCCCTGATCTCACTTTCCGTGACTATGGAGCTTAGACAAGTCAGTTTCTCCCTTCCAAGTTCCAATGTCCTCACCTGTGGAGAGAGCTGAGACCACCAACTTGACAGCTTAGGGGTTAGGAGAGAGGGATTTTTGTATATGAACATTTTGTAAGAAATTGCTGTACAATAAAAAGCATTTTGGTTATAGTTAATACATAAATAGTATACTCTACTACTAGGGATTGGAGGTAAATCCTCTCATACAGTTTAAAGGATTTGGTAAAATATACACAGTCATAGGAAAAGTATAAGAAATGGAGCAAAATACTAAATGTGGGATAGGTAGAAAAATTATTGGTGAATTTTATTCTCATCATTTTCCCCCTAAATTTTCTATAGTTAACATGTGCCACTTTTATGTAAAGAAAAAGCATATTCACCAAAAAAAAATTAAAAAGTTGATTGCAGCATTCAAGATCTGAATTAGCTTTATATTAAGGAAACTCACAAGATCAGATTATCATTGCATGCATGATCTGAGATGTATTTGGACAATTCAATTAATTTTAATACAAGAAGTGTGGGATCATGTTCTTGAAGCACAGTGCTAGAGCACAGGATGTAAAGAAATGAATAAGCCTTACTCTCTGCCTTCCCAAAGCACACATTCTCGGTGCACATTCTGTGTTAAGTGTTTCCATTTACTAAACATCATATTCATGGCAAAAACAAATCATCAGCATCCTAATAGCTACAAACATGTAAATGTCTGCAATGTAACAGATGCCTACCAGCAGCTACCATATAGATCTTGCAAACTAAGTGATTTTTTTTCTTTTAAAGAGTAATTTCAAAGTTATGAACCCAGATTTACTGATAACGACCCTTAGTCCATTTTTAGGGAAAATGTATTAACCGACAGCTAAACTGTTGAAGGTTTTCACAATCCATGAGGGAATGCAGATATTTCTTGAAAATTATCCACAGATGTTGGAAAGATGAAAACACATTTTCTGGCACTATGGAATAGACTTTTTAAAAACTTGTTTTGGAAATAAGTTTAGCTTTCAAGGAAATGTTGCAGGTACAAGTATAGAGAGTTCACTCATATACTTCTCTGTCCTCTAATGTTATCAAACCTACATAACTATAGTACAATTATGAGAGCCAGAGAATTAATATGAATGCCTTTTTTGCTATTGAATTAGCTTTTTAAAGGGATTCCCATTTTTTTCTGCTCCTAGGGGACTGCCTGTGATGATTCATTGTTTAGGAGGAGAAAAACTAAAAAAAAAAGTAATTAATGAATTTCAGATTATACTCAATGCCTAGAGATTCCTTTAGCACCTAGATAATGACCTTCATCTTTGTGAAACAACTTATCTTGCCTTATTCATTGATTCCTCTGACTGCCTTTTCCCTTTTAGTGTAATTCCATTCTCCAAAGTGAGAAATCTGGTTTCCTTTATTTATCTTTGATATATTTACACATTTGCTCAAGGCTAGACACAGAGAATTCAGGTTCAGAATTGTTGATTAAAAAACACTTAAAAAAGCAAACTTATCATCTGCAGTTTCACATTTTTGAGGAGGAGGCAGAGCAAGATAGCCAAAGACTTGAGTGATCAGAGCACTAAATTGAAAAAGTACCCATTCACCCTCATAAGAACCCAAAATAGGGTGAACGATCACGCACCTGTTTCAACATCATATCAAGAAAAGAGACACTGGAAGGGTAGGAAAGACAGCCTCGCATTGCCTATGCCACCACCTCCAACCCTATACTACCAAAATTGAAAAGTTCAAATTCAATTTTCAACTAATCTATTTTGTATTCTTTTCTGCTACTCTTGCTTATGTGAACAACCTCTGTAGAATGTTAGGTTCCATAGGTAGTTATGGAGTTTACAGTTCAATCACATCTTGGATCCCATTTTATATTTCTATGAGATTATTATTTATTGACCTATTTTTTTCCTGAGTTTAGATACCCAACAGAACAACATATTCTCTGTAATTTACAACCCAGATTCATAAATAAAATAATCACTCAGAACTTTAATCAGTATAAATAGGAATGATAATGCATCTTTTACCCCATGTGAATCTAACTTCTATTCTCTACAAACTGTTTTATACCTTCTAATAGTCACTTCTGGTGTGCAGACCATTCCATACTAACCCTCTTACCCAACTAGTATGATTAATAGGTAATGGAACAACCCAAAATAAAATAATAAATACATAGAATGTTACATCATTCATTTTTCTTTAGTAACTAATGACATTCAGTCCATGATGTTATATGAAAGGTAAATGAATTTTTGACATTTTCAAAGAGACACAATTTACTAACAGTAGAATGAGTATAAAAAAAATCCATAGTTATGGTTCTACTAACACAATTCATAGCTGCACTATACTTTTATAAATGTAGCAAATTTACCCAAATGTAATCCAGGAATTTAAAGAGCTATCACACCTAAAAACATAGCACAGTAACATTCTGAATGTGTATACATTTGAAGTTATTTGGTAGTTTTGTGAATCTACATCAACACTGCATGGACTTAAACTTCAGTGTTCCATGGAGTATGAGGCATTATACTGGTCATATTCCTATGTCTTTGGATCTTATTGCATGATAAAAAATTTCAGAAATAGAAGTCTCATCTGAACACTGACAGCATCTGAAAGGGGTTTAACTTAAGAGTTGTTTTTGTTCTCTAATGTAGACTTAGCTGTAATCCAAACAAAGTTTCAGATGCTTTATCTTCTCTACTTTGTGAAATAGGAACTAGGTAACGAATGGGAAAATAATATAAAAGGGTTCCTCAATCATATCAACAGTATCAGTTCCAGAGAGGACCAGTGCCCCTGCTTCTTCATCATGTAAGCCATCCTCACAGCCACCTGAACCAGATTTCACTGTGTGCAGTTAATTCAAAGTCTAAGTCTACAGTTAGTTTCTCGTTTATTTTGTAAAATTGCAAAATGACCAAACTATGAAAATTAGTAAACCAGATGTTCATTTATGTTTATGAAATTTATTTTAGACATTAGGAGAATGGTTAATCTGTTCTTTTTATGAAACGAGGCTTGCAGTATTTAATCCACGCTGAAGCTGAAGCTGGACACCCATCCGCTCCTAGGCTCAGAATTATAAAGAAACAGTTGGTTATCTTAATGGCCTTATCTTCTCCAGTCTAGCATAACCAATAGCCTCAGTGATTGTTTTTATTCTGGGAAAAACAGTTTATAGTACACAGACACAGTAGGGAACAAGGATTAGTCAGGCAAACCCATCTTCTCAGAGGCTCTTAAGGGAATGAGTTTTCAAATATCTCTCTGGATATTCCAAAGGTCAAAGTTTTATGTGTGCTATCTCTTTCATTATTTTTTTCTTATTAAAAAGTTTTTGTTCAACTCCTATACTGGCTTTGACCATAGCACAATTGATTAAATATTATAATATATACAAAAATACACACACGCAGACACACACACACACATACATATATATATATATATATTTCAGTTCATTTTACTAATTCTACATTTAAGTGCTCTAAAAGCATTCATCTGTGTCATGCTGATAGTGTATCACTTAAATGTAGAACACTTACATGTAGAATTAGTAAAATGAACTGAAATTGTACATGACAATGTATTCATTTTGTAGAACAATTATAAATTCTTTTTTATGTGGAACTAGTCCTTATTCTCTGATCATGGGTATCTGAAATTTCTAAAACAAATAAACTAACAAAATATGTCTCTTTTCCATTCTAAGTTTCCTACAATTTTCTGAATTTTTATGAATGTGTAGTTTGACATATTTCAATATGAGCAGGAATTTTCCCATCTAGAAAAGAGCATCTAGTCTTTCTTTCCCTTCCACCTTTTTGCATATATGTAGTGTGTCTTTTATGTAGTATGTTCTCTTTCTTTTCCTAGTAATCAATATATAATTATATTAATATATTAATATATATTAATATATAATGTATAATTATTTATAAGTTTTTTGTTGAGGTCATATTAAGACTAATTCTTCCTCTGTTCCTTCCTTCCATCCTTTCTTCCTTCCCTCTTTTTTCCATGCTTCAGACTTTATTTCCTTTTATAAAAGATATAAATTTAAAGACAGACTAGAAGCCACACTGAACCACCTTCACTGGTAATCAAAATCTGACACCTATTTGTCTCTTTTAGGCTTTTATAATGTTATCTTATATGGAATATAATTTTATATTGTATGTGTGCATGTGTGTGTAGCTCTTTGTGTATAATATAGTGTTGTGTGTTTTAAAAAATTATATAAATGGTATGACACAGTACATTGCATTAGTAGCTTGTAATTTGACCAAGAAAACCCACATTTTCTTTGAGATATATCCAACAGAAGTCCTGTAGCACTCATTTTCTTCATTTTAAGTGATTTGTAGAAGAAGTCTTCAAACTATGGTTAATAAATATTCTTGAAGGAATATGTTTCTAGATCATCACTATCATTGTTTTATGGTTTTTCCTAAAAGTAACCTTTCTGGGCATAAATTATTGGTTAAAAATCAGAGTATTTCTTTGTCAATCACCTTTCTCCTATTTTACAAGAGTTAAAACTGACTGTTCAGGGGAAAAAAGTCATTTGTTTTCATTTCTTTCTTTTCAATAACATCAAAGAAGGAAAAAATCAAGCTGTTAGCAATTAGATCACTAAAAGTAATGCTTGATGATAAACCACTGTGTCATTTGGGGCATATGACTGAGAAGCAGTTAGAGAATTGAATGACAGTGCTATGACAAAATTCCTGACATGCTTGACTCTGTTTGTGTGAACACATACAGTGGCTATGGCTGGGCGCAGCGGCTCATGCCTGTAGTCCCAGCTACTCGGGAGGCTGAGGCAGGAGGATCGCTTGAGCCCAGGAGTTTGAGGTTGCTGTGAGCTAGGCTGACACCACAGCACTCTAGCCTGGGCAACAGAGTGAGACTCTGTCTCAAAAAACAAAACAAAAAACAAAAACATCAAACATATACAGTGGCTGTAGCAAGAGAAATGATGCTGAACTTTGACTGATTCAAGCAGGTAAGTAGTATTTATTAAGAAGTACGGGAACATAATTTAAAATAAATATTGATGTTGCTCATTAACATATACAGATGTAGTTACTGTTTCATTTTTATATTTAAGATTTATTAAATTTATAATGTTTGTGTAGTTTGCACAAATTTTAGTACTAGTCATTGTAATACATCAATTCAGATTTTATATCATGTCATTAAATATGAAATGTCCTATTTCGAATCAAAAGTGTATTTTATTATATCTCAAACAGGAAGCAGTACAATTAATCAAAGTACGTGCCTAAACTATTGAGACAATTTTGCCATCTTAATGGTGGCTTGTTTATGCCAGCAGTGAAGAAGCCTGGAGAGCAAGTGGCCATGAAATCGAGAAAAGCGTTTCCTACAGCTTGTTGAGAATTGAATATTTTTCCTTGCAAGAAGTGGTCTGATGCCTGGAAGGAGGTAGTCAGTTGGTGCAAGTTCTGGTGAATACGGTGGATGACAGAGAGTTTCCAAGTCCAGCCTCTGTAGTTTGAGCAGTGTTGTTTGTGCAACATGTGGTTGATCATTGTCTTACAAGAGGACTGGCCTGTCTCTGTCGATGAATCTCAGCTGCTTAATCCCAAGCATCCTCATCGTTTCATCTAGTTGGTTGCAACAGACATCCACTGTAATCAACTGACTAGGTTTCATGACGCTGTAGTGGATAATACCAGTGCTGGACCACCAAACAGATAATTTTTGATAAATTATCTGTTTGATAAATATTCAGTTTTGGACTATGTTTCAGCACTTCATCTTTATACAACCATTTTGCCAAACGCTTGCGATTGTCAAAAAGAATCCATTTTTCATCACATGTAACAATATGGTGTAAAAATGATTCGCCTTTATGTCGTGACAGCAAAGAAAGGCAAGCTTCGAGACAATTTCTCTTCTAATGCTTATTTAATTCATGCAGAACCCATCTATCCAGCTTCTTTACCTTGCTGATTTGTTTCAAATGGTCTAATATTGTTTAATAGTAACATCAAACCTCGCTGCCAATTCACAAATAGGTTGAGATGGATTCGCTTCCACTATAGCTTTCAGCTCATCATTATCTACATTGGCCTCATGTAACCCACGTGGCTCATTTTCAAGATTAAAATCACCAGAACAGAACTTCTCAAACCATCGACACACATTCACACATTCTGTGTGTCCATTAGCCACATCCTTCCCAAACACTTGGTTGATATTTTGAGTTTCTGCGCTGCATTGGTTCCACAATGGAACTCATATTGGAAAATAACATGAATTTTTGACTTATGCATGGTTTCACAAAAATTGTTCTGAAAACATGTGAAAGATAATCACAAGCCAAAATGTGTGTTTGCAAGAGTGAGGATGTACCTTCACAATAATAATAAAACAAGAAGTGTCAAAGTGAAATGTCAGAGATACCAACCGTCAAACTTCATACTTAGGAAATTGGGCATTTCATACTTAATAAGCTAATAACTTAGAAATACACAATCAGGAATAATTTTTAAAAATCATCCTTCATACGTGGTGGTAGAAACATAATGGAGTGATTAGTAAAATAATTTTAAGCATAAAATAGATTGCATTAGGGTAACATTTTGTGGGAAAAATGGAATGGAATCACATTAAAGGAATAAAGATGATGTAAAATTTCTGACTTTTAAAAGACATGCTTGCACATTACAGAGGGCGGTAAATCACTTTGGTGTTTAGACTCTTGAAAAGATTGTTTTTATAAAATGTTAATTATACTGGAAATTTCATCCTTTGTGATGCTCTACGTTTTTGGTGAAATAATATTATTTATCAACTGAAAAACATCCAGGGTAGTACACATATTCTCAAAATCCTTCTAATGTAAAATAAAACTGTGAGGAAAGCTGCTCTATAGTATTCCTTTGTTTATTTTTAATATATCCTGCTGTGTTCTTTTTTAAAACAGTTCATCATTTACTTGCTTATTGCAAAATCTTCCTCTATCATATTTCAAATTCCCATATTAATATTAGTTTCTTTCAGGAATCAATAGTTTTAACTTATTTGCATGTTCATTTCTGCATCAAAGCCATGCTGTTTTATTTTTAGAGTCTTGACACCTGACAAATCAAGTTTTCATTCTTTACCTTTCTTCAAAACTTTTTGACCACACTTTATTCATTCACAAAAATATTCAAATTGGCTCATAAATTTAAGTGAAAAAACAGTATTCAAAGTGTTGATTGAATTTTAAATATATTTGGGGAAAAATTTAATTTAACTCTAATATATACACAGTTTTTCCCTCAGTGGACACTCTTACCTCCAAATTTAGTTAATTTACTTTTATGTCTTTAAATAATGTTTTGTATATTTCTTTATAGTGTCCTTTAGCCTCATTTATTGGATTTATTCCTCAAAATTTTAGCATTTTGTTGCTATTATGAGTGAGCCTTTCCAAACACTGATATTGCCTCATAGTTTTTGGTTACTGGAATATGAATTTTGTTGACTTCTATGTACCCAGCAATCTTACTTAACTGTCAGTAACCATGTCAGTAACTCAATGTCTTATTTTGAATTGTTTTTATTTCTATGATTATTTTGAGTTTTCTCTACAAAAAATCATATTATTTGCAAAAACAATTTGTTTTTCCATTTTTAGGTGTTTTTTTTCTTCTGATTTTATTGGATAAAGTCTCTAATTCACTGTTTAACACTGGAGTTGGCAAACCACATGGGGGCCTACCTTGTAATGTGTTTCACTGAAGCACAGCCATGTGCATGTGTTTGCATATTGTCTTTGGCTGGATTGCAGTAGCTAGGAGCCTTTTCAAATACCTAAATCTTGAGAATTTTAAGAAGAAGCAGAAACAGGGTAGCAATGTCAATCTTCTCTCTGCAGTTATCACTGTTTTGAAGCAGAGTTTCCTGCCCAGTGTCTGCCACCATCCCATAAGGTTTATTTTCATCCAGATACAGAGAAGAATCTTGGCTCTGTCCATGTGCTGTGATGAGCACGCAGTCGCCTGGGACACTCGTCAGGCTGCAAAGGTGCCTGGCGGATCCTTAGAGCAGCGTGTCACCAGCTAAGCCTAGCGGTCGGCGGCCTGTTCAAAGATCCAGGCAGGATCCTGCCACGTTGCGAGACAAGCCATCAGAAGGACATTGGTTAAGAGTTGACAGAATTTACGAAGGAGCACGCATAGCAGTGGCAGAGGAGAAACACAACCTCTGAGGGAAAATAGGCGACAGACAGGATGAGCCTCCAGAGCCCAAGGCAAGAAAGCAGCATGAGCGGCAACTCTGAAACCGTGAATGTGAGCAAAGGAGAAACACTGCGTGGAAAAGCAATGCGAAGGCTAACTTTATTATTTTCTCAGGTTAAAAGCACAGAAAGGCAGGAACACGTGAGGGGAAACCTGAAGACCAGAGGACTCGGCGCAGTCGAAGGACACTTGCAAGAAAGAGAATGTGGGACAGTAATAATCAGCTGAAGATAATGTCACTGACTGAAGAAAGACCTGATTCTTGACTTGGGGACACAGTGATTGAAAAAACTAACCACAATAGCACGTGTTCATGGAATTTTTGATAAAAAGAAAACTTATAAAACTACCAGAGCGAGAAAATAATACATCTAAGGAAAGAAGAATCAGATTCACAATAATTTTTTCATATAAAACAAGAAAAATTAATGCCAGAATAACATAGAGCAACATTTACAGAAAGCAAAAAATGGATTGCAAAGCTGGGAATTATAACTCTAAGGCACTGTTATGTTTAAGAAACAAGGAACTGTATCTCCACGTATATAAAAACTAAGACTTATTATCACTGTGATATCACTCTCAGTAAATAAACAAACAAAAATAAGATTTTAAGCAAAAGAGCATACTTAAAAATTAAAAAAAATGAAAGAAACAACGATGGTTAATATCATTTCAATAAAGTATTGTGTTAGTGATGTGGAAAATGTCAGGCGTCAGGACTCGGCCGCTTGCCACCTCCCTGTACCTCCGCATTTCCGCGGGCCAGCGCTGCGTGTGGCCAGTTGGAGGGCACGCTGCTGGGGCCGGGTGGGCAGCAGAGATGCTGCTGGGACCCCGCCTGCAGGAATGCCCCCAGGCCCACTGGCCGCTGCCTGTTTCTGGCCACGCTGCTTGCATGATCCTTACTGGGTAATTTCTGAATCCCACTGTTTTTGATTGGATGTTAAACCTTGTTGTTGATTGGATGTTAAAGCTTGAAGTTGATTGGATGTTAAAGCTTGTAGTTGATTGCTTTTTGAGCCCTACCAAGGGTATAAAAGCAGGAGCAGAAGGGTCAGAAGATGGGAAGAAGACTATAACACTAGGTGTGCTGAGCCTCTTGTAGAAGAGTAAAGGCTGTTCCCTGATTCTTCGTGTGCGGCTCGGTTCTTTCCCCCGTCAAACGAATAAGAGCTGTGACAAGAGCTGTAATGCTAGCTGTACACACTGCAGCGACATTAGAAGTTTCACTAATAAAATGAAGTAGGGAAGAAAATAAAACAGAAAGAAAATAAAGAAAAGCACACAACTGTCATTATTAAAAATGTTAATTTTTCATTCATCTCAGATTAAATGAAACACCCTTGAAATCCAAATAGATATTTTTGAAAAAAATTGACTAGCTCATTCTGAAGCTTGCAGAGAAAAACAAAGGGACAAAAATAGACAAGATCCTCTTGAAAAAAAGAAAAAAATAAAGGCAGGTACAATATATCAAATTAATTTAAAATCCTCGCTACATTTAGGATTTATAGCTCTGACAAGATGTAGTTGGGCCTTCCTCCTGGGCTCCTCCCTCACAGCAAACAACTTAGCAACACATACGACCAGCATGTGAAGCACCTGGACGGCCAGGGACGTGGGGCCCGCAGAGTGTCCCTGCTCCCACCCTTCCATAGAGGGGCGGCCTCCGGCGTGGTGCCTTCCACAGGGCGATGAGAAGAGCTCCAAGCAAGCCTGGCCCCCAGGCAGCGGGACAGAAATGTCCCACGGTGCCGGCCGCCAGCTCAGTGCACTACCCGCGGACAAACGTCCCTCCCCGTTCCAGGCACTCCCCGACCTTTCCCTCCACGCCCACAACCTCTCTCCTGGGGAGGCGGCCCAGCGCTGAGATCCCACAGGGAGGTGCCCGTGCCCGCTAGGGAGCTGGCTTGCCGCCCCCACAGACGCCCACCTCCCTCCGGGACAGTGCCCCCGGCGCCGGGCAGGTAGCTGACGCTCCAGAGCGCCCGGAAGGGGCAGGCGCTCAGCGCGCCCGGAAGGAGCCCACGTTCCAGAGCGCCCGGAAGGGGCAGGCGCTCAGCGCGCCCGGAAGGAGCCCACGTTCCAGCGGGCCCGGAAGGGGCAGGCGCTCAGCGCGCCCGGAAGGAGCCCACGTTCCAACGGGCCGGAAGGGGCAGGCGCTCAGCGCGCCCGGAAAGAGCCACGTTCCAACGGGCCGGAAGGGCAGGCGCTCAGCGCGCCCGGAAGGAGCCCACGTTCCAACGGAGCGGAGGGGCAGGCGCTCAGCGCGCCGGAAGAGCCCACGTTCCAACGGGAAGGGCAGGCGTCACGCGCCCGAAAGAGCCCACTTCCAACGGCCGGAAGGGCAGGCGCTCAGCGCGCCCGGAAGGAGCCCACGTTCCAACGGGCCGGAAGGGCAGGCGCTCCAGCGCCCCGGAAGGAGCCCACGTTCCAACGGCCGGAAGGGCAGGCGCTCAGCGCGCCCGGAAGAGCCCACGTTCCAACGCGCCCGGAAGGACCACGTCGTGGAAGCCCGGGTCCAGCTGAGTCTCCACCTCCAATCAGCAGCGGTGATCTCGCTTCAGTGGCGTGGGGCGGTGTTCATCACCACTGCGTTCACCCTCGCCTTCCCCCAGTGCCATGTCATCCAGCCCGCGGGTAACTGAGGCTGAACAGGAGGCTCAAGTCGGGCCTAGAAGTACTGCAGTCGCCCTGTTCCCTGACGCTGGCGTCAGTGCGTCCAGGGGAAAAAGAAACCTGAACCTGCACACCCAGCCGACAGCAAACAAGGCTGAAGGAAGCAGCACAAAACGGTGGTAGCTTATGCTTTTGTTCTGTTCTTCAAACATTAATATCAGCAGGTCCATAAGGAAGTTGAGTCCCAGCTCAGCCTTGTAGCAGCCAGGCAGAATGAGTTGAACCGGCGGGATAGTCAGCGCTCAGCTTCCAACCTTCCCTGATGACAGCAGGCCAGTAGACAAATGAGTTGCCACCTCCAATGTGCATCAAAGGCCTGGTGCGAGAGTGAGCTAACTTAGTACTTGGCTCTTCTCTCTCCTTGAGGGTCGGCAGGGCCAGAGGCTAGTTGAGCTTCTGGTGCCAGTACAAGGGCAGATCGGAGTAACGCATGCCTTCCCTGGTGGCACTGGATGCAGGAAGGAGCTGATCCTCCACTCACTTGAAGACAAATGGTGTCCTAGGTCAGTGCTCCACGTTGGACTGGTGTGTTTGGTGGGGCCAGAGAGAAGCGAATACTGTATCCACACACCTGGCTCTCAGCTGCTGCTCAGCAGGGGATGGGGAGGCACTGCTGCTGAGAAAATGACATCAACGAGGATACAGAGTCTCACAATATGGTAAATTATGCAAAATATCTAAGATACAAATGAAAATCTCAACATATCATGAACCATAAAAAAAAAATAACTGAGAAAAGACAACAAGAGATGCCAACACCAAGATAAATTAAATGTTGGAATTATCTGACAAGGACTTTTAAGCAGTCAGCATAGAAATGTTTTGACAAGTAATTATGAATTCTCTTGAAACAGCTGCATAATTGTAAACTCTCAAGAATAGAAGTAGTTATGGCAAAGAACCAAATGGAAGTTATGAACTAAAAAATATCATGACCAAAATAAAGCACTCGTTGGATGTTCTCAACAGTAGAAAAGAGACAGCAGAGATATAACCAATGAACATGGAGCAGACAATAAAATTATCCACTCTAAAAATTAAAAAATGAAAAGAATCACATGGGCATACAGGACAGTAGCAAAAGCACTAACATTCATATTAACAGATATTTCAGAATGAAAGGGAAGAAAAAGTGTTTTTAAAAGTAGGCTGAAAACTCAAATTTGTCAAGTCAAAACCTATACTCAAGAATTGAGTGAATAGATAACTCCAAGATAGCAGAAAATACATATTTTTTAAACATCCATTGACAATCTATCAAATAGTCTATATCCTGTGGCATAAGCAAACCTCCACAGATTTAAATGAATCTAAATCATACAGGATATGTTCTTTGACCAAAATGGAATCAAACTATAAACCGCTATAGAAAGATGTCAAGAAAATCCTCTGAAACTTGGAAATTAAACATCACTCTTTTAATTAGTCCATGGAACAACAAAGAAGTCCAACAGGAAATTATTAAAAATATGTAAAATGAATGACAATGAAATATAATAAAAAAGTTGGATGCAGCTAAAGCAGCTCTGAGAAAAATTTATAGCACTGAATGTTGACGTTAGAAAAGTGGAAAGATCACAAATAATTATCTAAATTACTACCTCAAGAAAATAGAAAAGGAGAACAATCTAATTATAAAGTAAACAGATGAAGGGATAAAATAAAACAAGAATGGCCATCAATATTTATCTATAATTGGAAAATAATAGAAAAAAAATGAAACCAAAAGCTGTATCTTTGGATGTATATATTTTTAATTTCATAAACCTCTAGCAAGAGTGATAAAATAAAAGTGAGTATACAACAAATCACAAGCTCTAGAAGAAAGAATAGATTATGAACATATAGAATCAAAATCAAAAACTCAATATCAATTTGCATTCCTCAAAGACATGAAATACTTAAGTATAAATTTAAAAAATGTAGAGTCTGTATTCTGAAAATCACAAGAAGGTGAATAAGAGAATAAGAGGTCCAACTAAGTAGACATACTGTTTCCTGGTTGGAAGACCACTTAAGGCAGTTAGAAATCTGCTATGTGGGTGATTGCAGCATCTATTAAAATGTTTTGTAGACATACAGGATATTCTAAGGACTCATATTGAAAAAGCAAGGTACCTTAGATAGCTAAAACAATTTTGAAAATAGAAAATAAAGGTAGAAAAAATCAAGGCTTTTCTATGTCCCATATTAAATCGGCATAGAATAGACTACAAAAATTCCATAGAGCAGAATAAAAAAACCCACAGGTGACCCAAATAAAATGCCAATTGATTGACAAATTGGCCAAACAGTTTGCTGGTAGGAGACATTTTTCTACAAATGATGTTGGCAGTATTGCACCATGGGTTTAAGGGGAATATGGTAAACTCGATACCTATAAAAATTAACTAAAAGTGTATGTGGACCTTGATGTTAATATTTATGTGTAACTGGCTTGGATCATGGTGCCCCAATTATTGGCCAAAGCACATTATTCTGTATGTTCCCTGTGAAGGGGTGTATTGCATAGGTTTACATATAGACTGTAGGCTTGAAAACACACTTCCCCCCCTTAACATGGGTGACCTCATCCATTTCCAGTTGAAGGTCTGTTTAGAAGAAAAATAACAAGCTGTATTATTAATGTAGGTTTTTAATTAAATTTTTAACTTTTGAAATAAGTTGAAGATTCACCTGCAGTTGTAAAACAAAGGAAAAAAAGATTCCGGATCCCCGGTGCGCGGAGCCGCGGCGCTCTGGCCCGCCAGGCCGCTGGCCGCGGGAGCGCTGGGCGCCCTCGAAGCCGCTGTCTCGTTCCGGCCCCGAGACAGACCCAGGCTGCCGGACAACCCACACGCAGGACACGTGGGGCAGAAGCTCCGCGGAGGCGGCGGCCATCCAGAGCAAGCACGTCCATCAGGTAACAACCTCGAGAGCTCTACCAGCTGTGGGAAAACTCTGTTCTCACAGAGTTCCCCGACGCTCTACAAGCAGTGCGCCAGGTCTGCGAGGACCACGTCCAGCCAGATCCTCCAGTTCAGAGAAACTCGGGACAGCTCCTGTTTCTGAAGAAGATGAACGCGTGCTGGCAGGACCACTGCAACGCAGGATGATCATGATCCGGAGCATCTTCCTGTTCCGGACCGCCACGTAGTGCTGCAGAACTCCATGCCTGCCCTCCGTCTGGTACATGGCCTAGAGCTGTTTAGGAACCATATCGATCCAGCGATAAGACGGTTCAAGAGCAAGACATCGACGGGATTCTGCTGTTGATCGTGAGCGCGAGAGGAGCGGGAGGCGTTGACCGGACTGCTGCGCGCTGCGAGCATCTGCCGACCTGCAGGTATACAAAGATCTTCGAACTGGAATTTTTGGGAAGAGACTAACTGTACGCTGTGGCAGGGCCAGGAGCTCATGCAGGACGAGAAGGTTCCAGAATATCTGAACACGTAAGTAAAGTCTGGAAAAGAGTGACGAGTGATCACGTACCGGGACCACAGCACACAGAAGCGCTGATCGCTTCGTGGTGGAGAAGCAGTTACTGGGAGCATTTAACAGCGATTCTGCAGAAAGGGCTGGACCACGGGCGGACCACTGCTGGCGAGAACAGAGTGCGACCTCACGCAGATGTACCAGCTGTTCAGCCGGCGTCAAGGGGGGGCAGCAGGCGCTGCTGCGGCACTGGAGGAGTACATCAAGATTTTGGGACGACCATTGTCACAATCCTGAGAAAGATAAAAGACATGTCCAAGACCTGACTGACTTCAAGGACAAGGTGGAACGGTCGATAGGAGTGTGCTTCCAGAAAAACGAGCGCTTTGTCAACCTGATGAAGGAGTCTTCGAACGTTTATGCAACAAAGCCCAACAAGCCGGCAGAGCTCATTGCGAAGCACGTGGACTCAACTACGTGCGGGCAACAGAGCCACCGACGAGGAGGCTGGAGAGGACCCTGGACAAGATCTATGATACTTTCAGTCATCACGGTAAAGATGTCTTTGAGCCTTTTATAAAAAGAATTTGGCCAAAAAGATCCTGTTGGGAAAATGCTCAGTTGGACGCTGAGAAGTCCATGCTGTCGAAGCTCAAGCACGAGTGCGGCGAGGCCTCACCAGCAAGCTGGAGGCATGTTCAAGGACTGGAGCTCTCCAAGGACATCATGTCCACTTCAAGCAGCACGGCATAATCAGAGTGACCTGGCCATGACCTACCGTGAAATCCTCACCATGGCTACTGGCGACGTACACACCCGATGACGTGCCCTGACCCCGAAATGATCAAACTCCAGGAAGTATTCAAGACGTTTTATCTCGGAAGCACACTGGCTGGAAGCTGCA